GGGGTGGGGGGTTGGTGTCTGGGGTATGTTTTTTGCTATATAAATAACGCAGTCAGACCATATCACAAATATGTGCTGCTATAATTATTATTAATTAGTTACATTTTATACATTTGCTTACTCATTTTGAGGGGCCAATTGACCCAGAGTACAAACCAGACAATTGATTCCAATGTGAAAGCACACTTAAAGAACAAACTAGTTTGACATAATTTCATACATAATTAAAAATTCTTCAAAAGTTTGAGTTTGAAAAAGATTGACAGAGCGGACTTTTCCAGGGCTGGGTCATGGGGGCAGCAGTCTTAGGAGAGATTCCCAGATTTCCCTCTCCCCAGACATTTCCTCCAGCTCCTCCAGGGGATTCCCGAGGCGTTCCCAGGCCAGCCGAAAGGCATAGTCCCCCTCCAGTGTGTCCTGGGTCTTCCCCAAGGCCTCTTCCCGGTAAGACATGTCTGAAACACCTCCCTAGGTAGGCATCCAGGAGGTTTCCAAAACAGATGCCCGCACTACTTCAGCTGACCTCTCTTGATGTGGAGGAGGAGCAGCAACACTACTCCGAACTCCTCCTGTGTGACAGAGCTCCTCATCCTATCTATAAGAGTGCGCTCTGCCACCCTGTGAAAGAAACTCTTTTAGGGCACTTGTCTTCAAAATCTTGTCCTTTCGGTCATGACCCAAAGCTCAAGACCATAGGTGAGAGTAGAAATTTAGTGACCGGTAAATCAAGAGCTTTGCCTTTCGGCCTTCTTTACCACAACAGACCGGTACATCAACCGCATTACTCCTGTCGCTGCACCGATCCACCAGACAATCTAATCCTCACTTGTGAACAAAAGACACTTGAACTCCTCCAACCTGGAGATGGCAAACCACCTTTTACAAGTGGAGCACCATGGCCTTAGACTTGGAGGTGATGATTTTCATCCCAGCCATGTCACACTCGGCAGCAAACCACCATAGTGCTTGCTGAAGGATGAAGCCATCAGAAGAATATCATCTTTGAATAATAGGGATGAAATCCTGTGGTCCCCAAACCAGACCCCCTACAGCACAAGGCAGCACATAAAAATTCTGTCCATAAAAATAAAGAACAAAAATGATCACAAAGGGCAGCCCTGCCAAGCCCAGAGCAAACTTTCTGGAGAAATATTAATTCCAGCTGGTTAACTCTTACTAACTCTTAATAGTCCATGTTGAATTAAGTAAAAAGTAGGGTTCCGCTAAGACTCTACCCACTTTGACATGCTAACAGTCTTTGCAGTCTTATAATATTGTTGCAGGATTTGGACAGTCAAAACATCTGTGTTCGTCTTGTGAGTTGGAAAGCAAGTCATACGGGTACAGAACGAACCTGGAAAATACTGGCTCCGTAAGGCGTCCTCCATGCATTGAGAAGATTGTCCTTTCCTGTGCTTACAAACCACTTCCCTGAAACAGAAACAAATCACGTCCTTTAACTTATAAGACAGAATGAAATAACATTTATATTCTATAGGTCATAAATAAGAAAGCCCCGCATGAATACAAGGGCAGAACAGAGTCATTTAGAAGTTGTTCGTTTTAAAGAGCAGAGCGATGCATCACAGTGAATCTCATACCGCAGTAGGCAAACTTGAGCGAGAGAACGCAGCTTTCATGAAGGTGTAGCTGGTATTTGTCTGGTTTGGAGACGTGCAGCACTTCCACATTACTGCTCTCCATCCCCACTGCAAGCCATTCACCCGTAGGACAGTAACCCAGAGAAAAGATCTGCAGGCACATAAAAGCACATCAATAAAAAGATCAATATAACACATGAAAGTGCAGCTGTGGACGGAAAAATGGACAACAAGTAACTTTAGTCTATAAAAATTCTAAAAACTGGAATTTTTAGGACTCTTTACATCTGGGTGATTGCTTTGCTAGGGTGTGTGCAATAAGATGTGGCAGCTGAAATGTTTTGAGTGGTGGTAGATCTTGTTCAGGTGTAGGCGATGCCTCAGCAGAGATAGTAGATTATTAACTGTGTGCCCATCTACTATGCCACTGTTGATTTTGGATGTCCTGGACAGTATGAATGCGAAAAGTATGAAAGGAATTTGGACGTACTACATCCGCCATTTTGACATAGTCACAAGACGGACCTGCGTAAATTTGCGTCGCTTTACTCCCCTTCATGAATTCGCTCGCTGGGCATCATGGGATAGCGCAGCATGCATGGGATGTGGACTCCAGAATCTCGCCGGAAGTAGTAAGTCATCCGGGTACTTCTCACATACTGATTTTCGAATTCTATGAATTCGGACATACTACTCGGCTCACATACTGATTTTAGCGTACTATATAGTATGGAAGTATGCGGCTTCAGGCGCAGCCCAGGGATCACCAACCCTATTCCTGGAGAGCTACCTTCCTGTAGAATTGAACTCCAACCCTGATCAAACACACCTGAACCAATTAATTAGGACCGGAAACAGCACTTGATAATTACAGACAGGTGTGTTTGCTCAGCTGAAATTTGCAGCAAGGTAGATCTCTATGAATAGGTTTGGTGACTCCGGTTCTAGACTGTTTTAAGTGGTTGCAATTGTTCAGTTGTTCAAATGTTCATTACCTGTGATGTGAAGTCATGCTGCTGCAGCTGTCGCCCTTCTCTCAGGTCCCAGCAGCGTACAGTGTTGTCCAGACCTCCCGTCCACAATTTGGTCCCATCATTAGAAATATCAATACAACTGGCTCCATCTGTGTGGCCTTGGAACTGCCTGTGGAGGTCAAAACAAGAACATCACATTACCTTGTGAGGGAAATAAATGTGGTTCATCGGAGTAGCAGGAGGCTGTAGATACCTGACGAGTGTCTGGTTGTGCAGGTCCCAGACTACGATGTTTCCGTCACTGCAGCAGGAGAAGCAGACCTTGTTGTCAGGACTGATGGCCAGAGCGTAGCAGGCCGGAGCCGAAGACGTCAATTCTGCCTTGATGCGTGGAGTGGGTGTGGCCAAGTCCCAGATGGACAGTGTGCTGGCCTCGCCCCCAACTATTAAGGTCCGGCCATCTGGGAGAATCTTGCATGAGCGGATGTAGTTGTCTCGATTCTGATTGGACAAAAGGATGTAGATCATTAATTCCAACCGAGATGAAGAGTACAAACTTTTAGAACTGTTGAACATGATGAAAACTCACCAAACAGTCCAGTTGGGCCATCGGGCTCTTGCTGCCTGGTTGGCTGATGTCCCATACTTTGACACAACCTTTGCCACCGGTGTAGACGTGGCGTGTGGAAGTGCTGATGGTGACGGCGCACACCACCTCTCCATGACTCAGAGTGTGGATCTGACGGGCATGACGCGGGATGCCAGGGCCGAGGAGGGCATCAGGAGGAAAGGGCACCGGCTGCATTTGACCATCTGCGCTCACATGGAACGAGTAAGCACTGGGGGCGGGAAATAGTTAAAATTTTAAAGAGGTAGTAAACTCAGTAAATCATTATCTTAATTCTGGGATAAAACACAAAAGACATTTTTCGTTTGTAACTTGAACCCAATTGACTTTTACTGTATGTAAATATGTTTACATGTAAAGGAGGGTGGAAAATGGTCAGGACTAATTTACATTATTACTGTTTTTGGACTCGATTAAAACAAGAATAGGAGCTGATTTCCAACCTTTACTACTTTGACAACATAATTATGAGAAGTTTGCATGTTTGTGTATGCGTCATTCAGCGGCAGCAGCAATAATTTGCCTTCTTAAGGATGTTTGCCTTAATTCAAGTGTTTTCCTTGTTGTGGCTGTCAGCGGGGGCTCGAGCGGGGATTGTATTACAAGCACAGCAAACAACAGTAACATTATTTTGCATTAAAAATCAATACACTGACCATAGCTGGGCAGCTGCACCCTTACAAAAAGCAAGTAAAAAAAAAAGATGAAAAACTTACGGTTTGCCACTAGTAGAGCCAGGAAGTGAGGAGGACAGCCCTGAGGGCCTGAGATGTGAACGGGATTCATACGCTACCTGTGAAAGGAAGAACTTAAAGTTCATAATGATAGTCCAAAAGCTTCTGTCAACTCTGTGGCTACATTTACATGACAATGGTGTAGCCAAAAAAGGGAAAGCTTTGTCCTACATGACGTTCATAGCCAGGCAACATAGTTGCTCAGTGGTTAGCACTGTTGCCTCACAGCAAGAGGATTACGGGTTCGAGTCCTAGCTGGGTCAGATGACATTTCTGTGTGGAGTTTGTGTGTTTTCCCCATGTTGGCAAGGGTTTCCACAGGGTGCTCTGGTTTTTCCTCCACAGTCTAAAGACATGCGGTATAGGTGAATTGAATAAGCTAAAATGGGCATAGTGTATGTGGGGGTAAGAGTGTATATGGATGTTTTCCAAAACTGGGTTGCAATCGCTGGACATTCATAGCTTTTTCTACACAACATTTTCATAAATATCTGCATTTATACATATCCGCGAAAACACTGCATGCCAGGTCAGTATTAAGAACTGTCACATTATTAGTAAACAGTAGCTGTAGTACAATGTGCCATTGGGGCTTAACGCTGGTGTGTATATAGAATTTGCTGTGTGTGTAAGATGCGTCTCCGCTGTTGGTTGTGATGTGAAATAATCCACAATTTGCTGATGAAGCATTAGGCAACACTTTAAGTAAATACCAACACTACCACATAATCTGCCATTTTTGTGTGTGTTTGTTTGTGCTTGATTTTAATCTACGCCTCCCTGTAATCTACTTTCGTATTCTGGTGTTCACACGGACACAACAGCAGCTGCATTTTTAAAAAACAAATGTAGGCACTTTCATTAATCCCTTTATTAATTAAGTCCCTTTATTAATCCGGGGTCGCCACAGCGGAATGAACTGCCAACTTATCCAGCAAGTTTTTACGCAGCGGATGCCCTTCCAGCCACAACCCATCTCTGGGAAACATCCACACACACACACACACACACACACACACACACACACACACACACACACACACACACACACACACACACACACACACACACACACACACACACACACACACACACACACACACACACACACACACACTACGGACAATTTAGCCTACCCAATTCACCTGTACCGCATGTCTTTGGACTGTGAGGGAAACTGGAGCACAAGGAGGAAACCCACGCAAAGGCAGGGAGAACATGCAAACTCCACACAGAAACGGCAACTGAGTCGAGGTTCGACCCAGCGACGTTCTTGCTGTAAGACGACAGCACTACCTACTGCGCCACTACCTTGCCCGTATTAGAGTACTGTAAAACCCAATAAGTTAAGGCAACTCAAATCACTTAAGGAACCCAACTGCTACAAACCATTTAAGTAAAAAATATGAGTATAAAAATATATATGAGAATTGTGAACTTACTCCATTTAAGTTGAAGTAATGATGTATTTAATTAACTCATGACCTTCAACGCTGAGTTTAAAACTCTTTTCAAATGAGTAGAATTAACTCTCAGTAAATGTTAAGTCAACTACACTTGAAGATGATTGTTGGGTTTTACAGTGTACATAAACACATATAAATCTATTTTTTATATATACTAAATCTACACATATCAATTTTATCTAAATATTTAAAACCATCAAGGATTTCAGAGGATGATGACCTTAAAAGGCGTCTTGTAAAAAGGGTCCATTGTCATGTAAACGAACAGGCAAAATGTATCAAGACTTTCCTGTTTTAGGCTGAAAACCTTATCTTGTAAACGACCCATGAGAGACTCATATACACAGTTACCATAGGGCTGCGTGTGTAGGCACTGGCTGCAGCACTGATTTGGGGCGAGAGGGTGAGTGAGCCTCCGAATCCGCCCGGACTGGCCAGCTCTCCATTCAGCCCAGCGTGAGACACCACCCCAAAGTGAGCTGGGTAAGAACCGGGCGTCATGGTTAAGGGGCTCCGCAGAGCTGCAGAATACACCATAACACAGTTGTTTTTATTGAGCTGTAGCATGTGTTGACTGCACATTCAAACAGACAGCGTCTCACCCAGAGGGTCTGCCGAGGAGGCAGGTTTGTTGACCAGGCGTAAACAGGACGTGCTGGGTCCCGGTGGGCCGGGTGGACCAGGGGTGAGAGGGTCATGGTGAGAGGGAGAGGAATTGCCTGATTTTGAGGAAGGCGACTGAGATTTTTCTGTCTGCCAATAAAATAGATAGACAGATATTAATGTTACAGTGATTAAACTTTACGTTAAGCTGCTTTGACATTATCTGCACTGTATAAAATGCTATAGAAACAAAGATGATGAGTAAAAGTGCCTTATACAGTAGGGAAAATAAGTATTGAACACGTCACCCTTTTTTTCAGAAAACACATTTGGAAAGGTGGTGTTGACTTGATATTCTCACCGGATGTTGGTAACAACCAACGAAATCCATATATGCAAAACAAAACTAATTAGTTTACCAATTAAGTTATGTGTATTAAAAAGAAATGACGCAGGGAAAAAGTATTGAACACATGAAGAAAGGGAGGTGTAGAAAGGCAGTAAAAGCCTAGACAGCAGCTGAAATCTCTTAGTGATTATTCATCAACCCTCTACCCTTCAACGTTGTAAATGAATATTAGCTGCTTCAGTCCAACATCTACATTAGCAGTAGGATGAAGATCCAGGAAAACCAGGGTGGACATTTTAGCAAATCAATGATCCAAAACACGGCTAAGGAAACTTTCAAATGCTTTCAGAGAAAGAAAATCAAGCTGTAGAATGGCCCAGCCAATCACCTGACTTGAATCCAATAGAGAATACAAAATAAAGGTCAGATTTGATTGACGAGATACCATCAAGATTATTTACACTCTGTTGAGTCTGTAAAAAACTCACACCTGAGCATTTCATGCGACCTCATTCTCCACATGAGAGACAACTTAAAGCTGCCATATCAAAAAAAAGCCTTTTATATAAAGTATTAAATACATTTCAGTTTCAGGTTTGTATTGTTGGGGTTTTTACCAGGATCTGGTTTAATTCCATGTCAACAGCCCCTTTAGAAATATCATTCCCAGGAAAAAACTTGGCATGTTCAATACTTATTTTCCCTGCTGTATATTTCATACTAGAGTACAACAGTATATTTGCTCCATCTGGTCGTCAAACATCAAAGAATCATGTCCCCAGTGAATGTGATGTACTGTGACGTGAAGTGCTGTTGTACTTGTGCCGTGTCCTTGTTTTTGCCAGGGGTTGGGCTGTGTGGCGGGGAGGCTGTGGGGGGACTGGGGGATCCTGGGAGCTCTTTCCTCAGTGGTAGAGCTCGATCCAGTCCATTTCCATGAGGAGAGAGAGGAGCACTGCCGACCGGAGAGGAAGCTTCCTGAAAACAGAGTCAAGGAAAGCAAAACATACTTTAGTTTAGATATGTGCCTAAATCAACCAAAACAAAAATCAGAGCAAAACAATAGACAAATCGGTGCAATAGCCTAGTGGTTAGTGCGATGACATGTGGTTCAGTAGTACCTCAGGGTGTCCCGAGTTCAAATCCCGATTAGAGGACATTTCCCGACCTTACCCCCTCTTTTTCTCCCGCTTCGCTTCCTTTCTCATTACTGTCCTACCTAATAAAGTAACTTCCCTGAAATAGGCAAGCAAGCTTTTTGTCATGCTGCCCCTCATCCTGGAATATTCTTCAGTTTGAACTGAAAACGTCTGAGATCATCCCGATTTTGTTCTATACACCAAACAACATCAATCCATTTGTCAGTGTACGCGCTTTTAACATATTGTGATATAGTATTTGTACTTCCCAAATTACATTATAAGTTGAACGGCATCTACGCTTACGTTAGTCTGTTTTTCATTAACTTGAGGTCTCTATGATCCTAGAGTGGGAGTGAAGCGTATGGGTTCCTAAAAGACCCTAGTGACAGAAAAGTCTCCGAATTGATACCGTTGGCCAGCCTGAACACCTGCCGGTGACCTACTCACACCTGCAGCTTCTCCATGATGGACGTTCAGCATTCTCAAGCCATCGCAACTTCAACTCTGAAAACTGGACTGATGCAGTTTCAATTTACTAGAACTTCTGTTAAGTTGCTTTGATGCAATCAACATTGTAAAAGTGCTATAGAAATAAAGATGAACTGAATAAATATTGCTGAAAGACTAAACTATATACATATATATTTTTTTCAGGTTATCTTTGTAAATGAGATCTCGATCTTAATGTTTTTTTTTACCTGGTTAAATAAAGAAACATATTTAAAAGAAGTAAAATCAAAACAAAAAGGTAAAACAAACTAGTGGCAAAACAAATAAAAAACCCAACCTGACACGAAACACAACAAAACAGTGAAACAACATAAAACAAAACAAACCAAATCAAAAACAAAGAAATAGACTCAAGGAAGGTCAAGATCCTGAGCGCATTTCACTTTCATTTAGATATGCAGTTAAAACTAAACAAAACAAAGCAAAGTAAAGCAAAACAAAGCAAGCTATTGCGTAAAAAAAAAAAAAAAAAACAACAACATCAGAAACAAACAAACCAACCAAACTGAATTTGAACAAACACACCAACATAAAACAAGAAAACAACATTAAACGTAAATAAAAATAAACCGAATTAAAAATTCAAGGACATCCAAGTCTCTATGTGCATTTACGTGAGCGTTTTTTTTTAAAGGTTTTAGATTTTTCCGTAGCTAAAAAGCCCTGGAGGTCAAATAAACAAGGTCTCAATCCATTCACTCATATTTCTAATTACGCCATGTTTACTCAACAGTAAATGACCAAACATTGCCATTTATTCATTGATGTTGGAAGAATCCAAACTGTTTTGATGTTTTTAAATGAGTTAATTGTGCATCAGGGTCACTTAATGATTATTAAAGCACAGAACAGCCTTCAATGACTTCAGCAGAAAACAATCCTGATTCGCCTGTGTGATATTATCAGCAATTACCAAATGAATGCGGTTTAATAAATATGAGTGATGTTCAATATTTATCCAGTAATTGAGAAACAGAGCTGTAACATTTTACCTTGAAATGGCTGATAATGGCGCAGAAATAATAATAATGAATGGGAGTTTTTCAGGAGGAAATGCAATTGCTTGTGCTTTTCTGTAGTCGAATGCAAATATCTCATTAAGATTAAAGTCAGCGTAAGACTTGCCACCACAATGCCAAGCATGGCTAATGAGTGGTTTGGTCTGAGTCTGCTCTTTAGCAAGTGCTGGGACTGATATGTGTTTTGATTTATGTCTATAAAGGCTTTTTTGTGTTGTTGCGACAATATACTGAAAAAATGATCAAATGATTCATGCTTAAGACAAGTATTGCCTAAAATATGGGTAACACACTTTGCTGTACAGTGTCCATGAAACAAATGTTCAATGTACTTACTATATTAGTACAAACAAAATACCTACAATTACTAGCAATTAACCATAAACCTAACCCTTATCCCAACCTTAGCCATTTAGTAAGTACATTTAGTCAAATTACATTACTCAATAATTAAATATATGACCCTCGGCCACAAAACTAGTCATAAATATCAGGTTTTTCAATTGAAATTAATAAATGATCTAAAATCGGAATAATTCCATTTTCTATTGATGTTTAATTCGTTAGGATAGGACAATATTTGGCCGAGAACTAAGTGAAATCTGAGTGTAAAATAGAAAATAAATACTTAGAAAACTTCTTTTAAAGCTGTCCAAATTAAGTTCTCAATAAGGCAAGGCAAGTTTATTTATATAGCACATTTCATACACAGTAGCAATTTAAAGTGCTATACATAAACAGGAATAAAAGAGGCGAGTGTAAGAAAATAAAAACAGATTAAACAGATAAAAATGTGTTAAAATAGGTTATAAGATAATGAAAAAGAAAAGAAAAACATTAAAGTGCAATCTGTCTCGACGCAGCGAAGTGCTTATTCAGTAAAGTCACAGCTAAACAGATTTCAGTCTTGATTTGAATGTGCTTATTGTTGGAGCACATCTGATCATTTCTGGAAGCTGATTCCAGCAGCGTGGGGCGTAGTTGCTAAAATCTGATTCACCCTGCTTGACTGAGCTGTTGGAACTTCAAGTTTATATGATCCTAAAGATCTGAGTGATCTATTAGGTTTGTATTCAGTGAGCATATCTGTAATGTATTGAGGTCCAAGGCCATTTAGTGATTTATAGACAAGTAATAATAATTTAAAACCTATTCTGAATGTAACTCAGCAGTCAATGTAAAAATCTAAAAATACTTTTGATATGTTAATTGGAAGAAATTTGTAATTTGTGATCTTTATTAAATATAACACACAACTAAAAAGGGAAAAACTACCCAAATTAAACTAAGAACAAAACCAAAACAAACAAACAAACAAACAAACAAACAAACAAAAAACTACAAACTAACCAAAATTAAACAAAAAAACAACAAAGTCAAAAAGATAAATAAACACAAAAAAACTTAAACTAAAACCGACACCAAATCCAAAGTAAAACAAAACTAAAACAAAGCAAAACCAAAATCAAATTAAAGAAATCCAAAACAAACCAAAACCTGAAAACAAACCAGATCAAACAAACAAACAAACAATGCCACAATCTAAAACAAAAAGCAAAGACAAGTTAAAAAATTTTAAAAAATAAAATAAAATGCAATGGATCAAACAACTAACTATCTTAAACCAAAGAGAGAAAAAAAGTAAATAACCAACCAAAGTAAACAACCCAAAAAATAAACAAAATGAAACAATGACAAAAAAACAAAAGACAAAAACTAAACTTTATTTCGGCTTTCAACAAACATTTATATAAAAACAATTTAACAAAAATTCTAAACAGGTTGACAGCACCATTGTACTGTAAGTACATACAGATGTCATTTAACGTTGCATGTAAACTGACCTCATTCGAGACGTCTACTACAAGATTGTCCTCGCTCTTGTCTCCATCACTGTCCTGCAAGACAACAAGCAGGAGAAATTCAGCGTTAGACGACACACACACAAAGTCACAGAAACATATATACACACACGACATACACATCAGACCAGTGGTAATATGAGCAAAGAACACCCTGAAGAAAAAACAAAACATCTTGATTGGTTAAACTTTTGATATTTTGTACAAGATATTAAGCAAAAAAATTAAAAATAAAATAAAATAAAATAAAATAAATAAAATAAAAAAGCCTTTTTGTGCCACTTTCTGACCCCAAAACTTTTTAAATTCCCCAGCTGTGATTCCTGGAGATTAATTAATAAATAAATCAATTACAGTATATATATATAAGAGCGGCAGAGTAATGGGAATATATGTGATATTTGTTGTTGAGTATTGCGATAACAATATTTCTTATCATATAACCTTTCCCCTTTAAAAAAATGACCTTTTATTAGCTATTTTTAAAAAGTCATTAATTTATTAAAAGATAATGAAAAAAAAAAATATATATATATATAAATGAATATGTATAATAATATCTAATTCAGGCAAAAAACATATGTCTAGCTGCAAACATATTGGGTTCCATTTAAAGGATCTAGGCACAAAGTCTGAAGCACATGGTGCAAAAGCATTGAGAGCTTGTCTGAATCCACTTTTGCTATTTTAAGGATGGAAAAATACAGTCTGCGCTCTGTTGTGCTTATTCTCTAAAGGAGTTATGGGTGTGTTTTGAGAATAAACCAATCAGACCAATCTCCCATTTCCCTTAAAAATCAGTTGCGTTGCGTCATGGGGCATTTGCTAATAACATGGCAGACTTTGTAAGTCAAAAAAATGAACATTTCACTACCGAAAAAACAGTCATACACACAATCTGCAGCGTGAGGATAAAGAACGAGCCTTTTCCATTCGGTCTCTTTACTTTTACTCCTTTACTTTTGTAAAGTAAGAAAAAGGTGTTACACACTTTGCTGAAGACATCCATTAGACTTTAGACCAGCTTTCAGTTGGTCAACAGCGCGGTCTATTTCAGTTCTTCAAAATAGCGTGCCAACAATGTGCCCTATCACACCTCCTGTTCAGACCAGCACGCCTATGATTCCACAAAGTGGCACAAATGGATTTGCTTTTTTAAACAACGTGGCGCAAAATGTGAAAATTACAGTTGCACTGGTCTGAAAACAGCAAAAAATCATGCCAAACACGTCTTGCGCCTTATTTCGCTGATTGTATGATAGGGCCCATAAAATTTCAAATACTGTAAATGTTTGATGATCTCAACAGATATTCTCATTCTGATTGGCTATTGTCATTTCGTCTCCTTGAATTGTAAGGTTCTATCTGCGTTCTGAATGATTTTAAAATATTGAGCTTGAAAGTTTTTGCATTCCATATAGAAAACAATATGTGTGCAACATTTGTTTTTCAAATAAAAGTTTGAAAATGTAAACAACTTATAAAAAAATCCAATAATGTAAATAAGTTTTCATTTAATAAGAATGTCAGTAACTCAACTTTGACAAAAATGTCAGATAGAACCTTATAATTCTAAGGTGATGATTTTCCTCTCATGTCTCAGCTCCCTTCATTAGTATTTTTTAGCGATCTTCAGACCACTCTAGCCAATAGCAGATCAACAGCTACTGTAGAGGCGGGATCAAAACCATACAGCCCCTTTTGATTGGTCAGATTTGATTAAGCAACCGTTGCACTCAACACACATATTTCTGACACGTAAATTATATTTCATTTAACACAACTCTCTGCTATAAAGATATTGCATGTACTATTGTTATGATAATGATATTGTTTCAATATATTGTGCACAACTTCAACATTATGTGGTTTATATTAAAGAATTTTGTTTATAAATGGTGTTTATATTAAACAATAATGTGTATAAATATATTTGTTTTTATCAAAACTGCATTGTTTGCAATTCTTTTTTCTCTGTAAGAGTTTTCTGTTAAGGTTTTAAGCAAACAGAACATTTCTTCACAGTGTCTTTGCTCATATTTAGTATTAGTATTAGTGGTGTGTATGCACAATAATCCTGCAAAGTGTGTGAATGCAGCAGTGGCGGTAGAGGACAGACTCTTCTTGGCATGGTTTTCACACTCTTCTCACTCTCCTCTGTCGCTCATCTCCGGGGATCAAGGGGTGACAACGCACTTAGTTGCCATGGCAACAGACCTTTGATGTGGTCGTTGGCCTGATGTTCCAGTAGTCATCATCAACCACCAGTGACATCATCATCACCCCTCCCTCAATCATACCTGCCCGAAGGGTCACATATTGTATGACTTTTCCTTGATAAACACTAGACATGATGCAGCGTTGAGTGTAATGGAGTAAAACATAGCAAGAAGAGTAAAATGAGAATATAGTTTATTACAGTATTTATTGATCTATGAATACTAATATACTTTAAAATTATTTTGTTAATATAACAAAAAAATGTATTCATCATAAAGGTATTTTTGTATCATTAAAATTCTAAGAATTGATAGAATTACATTTTATATTAATGATATATTTTAATCAATAAATAATGCATTCAACATTAATAAAAAGATTTCTATAATTATCAATATAATACAATATATTATATAATATATAATATATATTATATATAATATAATATAATATAAATTACAAATGTATGTATTTTAATATGATTAAAATCTTCAATATTTGGTTAAATTTAATTTACTCATAGTTCAAAATATAGTTATATATATATGTACATTTTTTTTCTTAACATCTTTAAGAACAATATATATATATATATATATATATATATATATATATATATATATATATATATATATATATATATATATATATATATATATATAAATACATACATAAACACATCTTTACTAGGTACACCTAACAAGTACCAGGCTGGACTGCCTTAATCGTTCGTGGCATAGATTCAACAAGGAACTGGAAATAATTCTCAGATTTTGGTCCATATTGACATGATAGCATCACACAGTTGCTGCAGATCTGTCGGCTGCACATGCATGATGCGAATCTCCTGTTCCACCACATCCCAAAAGTGCTCTATTGGGTTGAGATATGCCCTGTTGTATGGTGACCATTCTCTGTAAACCCTAGAGATAGTTATGTGTGAAAATCCTAGTAGAACAGCAGTTTCTTCAGTTCTCAGACCAGCTCGTCTGGCACCAAAAACCATGCCACGTTCAAAGTCACTTAAACGACCTTTCTTCCACATTCTGATGCTCAGTTTAAACTGCAGCAGATCGCCTAGACCAGAGGTCACCAATCTCGTTCCTGGAGGTCCGGTGCCCTGCAGGGTTTAGCTCCAACTTGCCTCAACACACCTTTCAAGTATACCTAGGTAGAAATTGATTAGCTGGTTCAGGTGTGTTTGAGTAGGGTTGGAGCTAAAATCTGCAGGACAACGGCCCTCCAGGAACAAGTTTGGTGACCCCTGGTCTAGACCATGTCTACATGCCTAAATGCATTGAGTTGCTGCCATGTGATTGGCTGATTAGAAATGTGCCTTAATAAGCACATGAATGTACCTAATAAAGTGGCCGTTGAGTGTATATACACACAAACACAATTGCTTTGCCATTTTGAAAAGTGAAAAGACATCATCATTGTATCATTGTCATGTGACCTACGTAGTGGGACTGCAGAATGTCTTTTTCCTCACAGCGTCTCCGTTTGGCATCACCACCGGCCTGAGAGGAATAAACCCCTGACGGACCCTGACGATCCTCCACCGCCTGACTGTCAGTCGACGACACTGATTTACTCTACAGAGACATAAAATACAGCATAAACACACACACACACATGCACACACACACATAAATTTTCAACAAAACGCTAAAGGTTGTGCAAAGTTCACGAATAGTTCACTGTCCTGCTGGTTTTGGGTTGAAAGTCAATAACATCAAATGTCAGCATTTCTCAAGTGTCTCGAACCCGAACGTCATGATGCCAGTTTGACTGTTGTGAAAGTGATTTTAAAGGAAAATATTGTTATTTTTTCATATAGAAAGGTCTTTGTGTGGAAAAGATACACCGATGGTCAAAGGTTTGGGATTAAGAGATGTTTTTATTTCATTTATTTTTTTAAATAGGAAATTCTGCTTGCAAGATTCATTTGATACAAACTATAGTAAAAACTGTAAAATTGTGAAATGTCATTACAATCTAAACAAGGGATGCCCAAAATTTACCTTATAAAGGGCCAAAAACCAAATTTGAGGCTAGTGGGCCAAAGGTAAACATAGTTTATACGTGCAATTTCCTTATTTATTTAATAATATCAAAAAAAAACTAGAAAACATTGCTTTATGTTAACTATTACAGTATATTTTTCCGTCACGTTTTATAATGAACTTATCACAGTAAAAACAACCTCATTTATAACAGAATGACGTTACACTAGTTTTTGCCTTAATCGCTTGCCGATATCTTCTTCATATTCCTCTGTCCATCGAGTGACAGCATTTACATTTTAAAAACTTAGATTCATTTAAAACATTTAATTTTAGTTTGCCTTTTTGTAGCTCAGCAATAAATCAAACAAACAAACAAACAAACAAAAAGTTTACATCATATCAGAAATGACGATCTCAAAGACATTCTCCCTACTTCTCTCCATCATTCTCACTCTCTTCTCAGATGGGATGGTGGGTCAAATCAAAGGTTACAATGCGCTAACTTTGGCCCGCGGGCCGCACTTTGGGCATCTCTGATCTAAACTGTTTTCTTATCAATGCATTTATTATCTATTCCTCTTGGATATTATGGTGGAGTGGGGTCTCTCCACTCCACCACCAGTGTGCAGTATCCACTTGGATGATGCGACGGTAGCCACAGGACAACAGTGCTAGTGCGCTCACCACAGACAGTGATAAAGAAAATTCTGTGTATGGGGATGATTGGGAGGCCAGGGCTGACGGAGGGAATTTGGCCAGGACACCGGGTTTACACCTCTACTCTTTACACGAAGTGCCAGGGGATTTTTAAAGACCACAGAGAGTCAGGACCTCGGTTTATCGTCTCACCTGAAAGACGGCACTCACTGACAGTATAGTGTTCCCTTCACTTACCGGGGCATCTGGACTCACACAGACCACAGGTTGAGCTCCCCCTGCTGGCCTCACTAACAAAACTTCCAACAGCAACCTTGTTTTCCCTTGTGTTCTCTCATCCATTGTGATCAATGTTGAATTTTTTTCCACATAATTGAGGCAGGGGGCAAAAAATAAAGATTGATCATAACAGAACAGCAAGTCATCATGCTAATAATGACTTTTTGAGACTCTTCGATTAAAAGAAAGTTAAAAATAACAGCATTTATTTAAAATAAATATTTTTTTAACATTAAATGCAACTTTTAATCTTGAACATTTTAATGTCTCCCTAATAAATGAAAGTGGACACATATTTAATGGCACATTAGAAAGGCAACTTGTCACGATTTTCGTTATAATCATTATCATAAGAATAATAATAAATATTTCTTGAGCAGAAGATCATATGAATTTCTGAAGGAGCACTCAATAAGTAAACAGTTGTTACAAATTCTAATAATAAGTCAATTTGACAGTTTTAACTGTATTTTTGGCAAATTGTTCAGCAGAAAAGGCTTCATTTAAAAGCTTTAAAAAACTTTTGACTGGTATTGTAGAAGAGGGTCATTAAATGATGACAGAATTGTCATCTTTGGCTGATTTATTCCTTTAAATTTGCAATAATAAGCATCCTTCTGGATGCCGATCGTTACTGAATTGGCCCAAAACATTTGGCGTGCATCCAGTGTCAACTGTCCGTCTCTAAACTTTCATCATTGTGAGGAGGACAGCAAAACCACCCTCAGATCAGTGACTTCAAACACTTCGTTTTCTGCAACGCTGCAGTTTTGCTAGCCAAACAGGAAGCGCACTGGACTGAGATGAGAAAAAGTGCACAAAGAAGCCCTAGTTCTCTCAAACAAACCTGTTTTCTCCAAATTCTCTCTCTCTTTTCACTCCCCCTAGCTCAGACCTTTCCTTGACTCCCTCATTTTCTTCCTCTACAGTCAGCAACAAGAAATCATCTTTAAGAACGGGACTGTTACAACTCTTTCTCCTCCACATATTCTCACATTCGACTCTTAAAGGGACAGCACACATTATAAATTATCATTTGGTCCATGATTATCCTAGCAGAAGTTCCCAATTGAAACTGGAACACAATTGGATAACAGAATCATTCATTTTCCTTCAGTTTAGTCCCTTATTTATGAGGGGTCGTCACAGCCAAATGAACTACTAACTCTTTTGGCATTTGTTTTACACAGACCTTCTAGCAGCAACGCAGTACTGGGAAAATAACAGAAAAAGATCTCATAAAAAGTATCACACATGAAAAAATACTATAGTAAGTTACCTGACAGCCTGTAGTGTTTGTAAACCAAACAATAGCAAATACTGTTATCCTGTACATATTATAGTAACACTTTGTTAATGAATGATTCAGTATACCGCATTATTAGCTATAGTGAAATGAATAAATACTGTTGTTTTTTACTACCGTGAACTGTGGTGTGTTGTAGTATATTATGCCCTATAGTTATAGAAAACTACAGTATTGGGTCATTTGTCTACATTAGTATGGTTGCTGTGTCACTCTTGCAATTATTTTATAGTTTTTATATTGCAATTATACTATAGTTTACTATAGTATGGTTAAAAAACACTGTAGTATTTACTTTAAATTACTGTCTTATTTTTTTTTTTCAAATGGGAAAAAACTTATTTGTTAAAAATGAAAAATGAATGAATTCGAAACACTGTGAATTTCAAAACACTATTCAAAAATGTTAAAAAAAAAATGTAACTCGTAAGTTAAAAAAACAATTAAAAAATACACAAACCCAATTCATAAATTTAAAACACGATTCAAAAATACACAAATCCAATTCGCAAATTTAAAACTATATTAAAAATTATACAAATCCAATTTGTGAATTCAAAACTCGATTCAAAAATACACAAATCCAATTCATAAATTCTAAACACAATTAAAAAAATACACAAATACAATTTGTGAATTCAAAACTCGATTGAAAAATATACAAATCTAATTTATAAATTCAAAACTCGATTCTAAAATACACAAATCCAATTCGTAAATTCAAAATAAGATTAAAAAAATATACAAATCTAAATTGCAAATTCAAAACACCATTCATAAATACTAACCCCAATTTGTAAATTCCAAACACGATTCGTAAATAAACAAATCCAATTCGTAAATTAAATACATGATTCATAAATACAAACCCCAATTCGTAAATTCAAATCAAGATTCGTAAAAACACAAATCCAATTCGTATTTCAAAACTCGATTAAAAATACACAAACCCCAATTCATAAATTCGAAACATGATCAATAATTACAAACCCCAATTCGTAAATTCAAAACAAGATTTATAAATACACAAATAAAATTCATGAATTCAAAACTTGATTAAAAAATACATAAACCCCAATTTGTAAATTCAAAACACGCTTCGTAAATACACAAATCCAATTCATAAATTCAAAACACAATTTATGAATACACAATTCCAGTTAGAAAATTCAAAACTCGATTCAGAAATAGACAAATCCAATTTGGAAATTCAAAACATGATTAAAAAATGCACAAATCCAATTTATTTGGTCAAAATGTTCATGATTTTTACTAATCATGAATTGTGTGTAGAATTTACAAATTGGATTTTGTACATGTGAATTGTGCTGTACATGTATGAATTTTATTTCGGAAATTTGTTATTTTTGAGACTGATCTAGCTCCATACTTTAATGCTAACTAAGATTCAGGCCAATGACAGAGAGTTATGTTTTGTTACAGCAAAAGTACAAAACGAACACTTCCCATGTAACTAATGGCAGAGGGCAGTAACAACGCTGTTTAGAGAGTCCTGAAAGGTCGGTCGGATTTCATAATCGCTCTTCTCAGTTAAGGACTCAGCATTTGGAGTCATTTATCAAAGTCAGTGGGGTGGAGGACCAACATATACACACAAACACACAAAGTTTGATACTCACCCTGCTGGGCGCACCCTCTGGGAGCGGAGAAGAGAGACAGAGAGAGAGAAGGAGGGGTAGGGGATTGACGTCAGTCTAGATAATAATAACAACAATTCCAAAGCAAGCCAAGGTCATGCTGAAAAATCCAGTCAGGGTGCAATAAAATGACATCCATTGTATTGAGCTCTCTGAGCAAGTCGCCCCTCTGGCCTTCAGTCTATCAGAGCTTCAAGGCTCCTCAGAAGTCGGTCCAATCTACCGGACCCACTCCACATACACACACACGCACATGCACACTCCCATGCATACACACACACACACACACACACACACACACACACACACACACACACACACACACACACACACACACACACACACACACACACACACATACACATACACACACACACACACACCTACACACATACACACATACACACATACACACATACACACGCCTCACTTTCTGTCGTTCTGTTAACTTCCCTTGGGCCACATTTGGCTCTATCACTTTTTGTATGGCTTCCTTTAATGCCCAAGCAAAAGTATTTACGAAAAGTATTTCTCACCATTGTCTTTTTTTTCTTCTGGAGATTTAATATTATTTGGGTTATTCTATAATTGCAGGTACATTTGGTGTCTGAAATTAATTTTGAAAAATCAAACTCTCATATATTGTGGACCACAATATATGTATATAAATATATAATATTGTCGTATACAGGTTGTTTTTGTGTCTGAATTAGCCTTAGTGTATTTTTTCAAGTATTATTGCTTAAAGGTGCCACGTAATAAAAATCTAGACATACCTAGGCATAGCTGAATAATACATCAGTAGATGGAAATGACATACAGTAAGATTTAGACACCATTGTTTCCTCATTCTGATGTAAATCAACTTAGTGTAAAATCCCAGTGAAAACCAGGCCAATCAGAGCAAAGCACAAACTGTTAAATTGCATATGGAGCAATTTATTAGCATGCCCTCAATATTTGTTACCTTATTTTAAGCTTATCTAAGTTTTTATTAAGCTTACTATGTAAGTGGGACTTTTACTTTGAAAACGGGAGATGCAGGGAGACTTATAGAGCCAAAGACTATAGGCTAAAGCCAGCTGCACCACATCTTTAGAGATTGTTTTCCATGTACTTTTACGAAACAAGGACATCTGTCTCTTTCAGTCATCTGTTTACAGCTCGTCAGAATTCAAAATGCTGGATATACAGATTTTGGATTTTTCTAGAGTCATCCTGAAGAGGCCATAAAGTTTGTTTATTGTATGTTTTGTTAATTAATTCTGTTTATTGTAAAATTTGCTGTGTGTTTTATGCATTGTGTCATATCGCTTAGCTATTTTTTTCTTGAGTAAAAGGACAATACACTTTAATAAATCCCTTTAAGTTAATATTTTTTAGGACAAAATGTCTCTAAATACAAATATAATGGCTATGTTTTTAGAGATAACTGGATTTAATTTGTGTTATTATTTAAAACATTTTTTATCATTTTTATTATACATTTTTTTGCTTCTGAAAAATAATAGAAAGCTTTTCTAGAAGATGCAAAATGTAACCGGAATATTAGTATAATCTTGCCATTTACTATGTTAAAAAAGTTATAATTGTCAATCCTGTTACCGTCAATCTCTTTTTACAACCATAACACAGTTAACATATATATATATATTATATGTTTTTTTGTCAATTAAAAAAAATAGACATACTTGCAATAGCACACCTCAAAGAATTTTTATTAGTGAACAGTTTTGGTAACAGTTTAAAATAATGGTCCGTTAGTTAATGTATTTACTAACATACAAACAAACTGTTAGTCATGTATTTATTACGGTGTTTATTTATCTTTGTTAACGTTGCTTAAAGTTATTTAAGTCAAATAATGTTAGTTCATGTATATCAATAATGCATTGGTTAATGTTAAACTATGATTAATAAATGCTGTACCGTTCATACGTAGTGGACAATTATTCTAAAGTGTTACCAAATTAAGTGTTTAATTTATTAAGTCGTTTAATATCTTCATACATCTATGAGGCTAAAAATTGTTGACTAAGAGAGGACAGATAGATATTCACCTCGTAGGTGCTCTGGGTCTAGGTGGTTGCGTTCGTCCTTGTTGGCCAGGTGTGCCGTGACTCCCAGGGCCCCAGTGAGGGCCAACAGACTGGACGTCCCACCCAGAGACAGACCTGAAGGATGAGGAGTGAGAGGAATACCTGGAGTGTGGTGAGACAGGTGCTGGAGCTGCTGCTGCTGAGAGACAGACAGATAAAGACATCAGGCAGGCAGACATGCAGAGAAAAACACATGGATGGATGGATGGATGGATGGATGGATGGATGGATGGATGGATGGATGGATGGATGGATGGATGGATGGATGAATGGATGGATAGATGGATGGATGGATGGATGGATGGATTGACGCATGGATGGATGGATAGAAGGATAGATGGATGGTAATAGATGGATGAATAGATGTACGGACAGATGTACGAATGACTAGTTGGATGGTTGGATGGATGGATGAATTGATAGATGAATGGGCAGAGTGACAGATGGATGATAGATGGATGAAAGATGGATAGATGGGTGGTTGGACAGAGTGACAGATAGATAATAGATCGATTGATGAAAGATGGATAGATGGATGAATGGATGGAGAAAGAGATGGATGGATAGTTTGAAGGTTGGATGGATGGATGGGCAGGGTGACAAACGGATGGATGGATAGACGAATAGATGTACGGATGGATAGCTGAATGGTTGGATGGATGGATGGATGGATGGATGGATGGATGGATGGGCAGAGTGACAGATGGATAGACTGATTGACATTTGGATGAATGGATGGATGGATGGGCAGAGTGACAGATGGATGGACAGATGAATGGATGGGTAGATGAATGGATGGCCAGAGTAAAAGATGGATGGATGGATGTACAGACAGATGGATGGATGGGCAGAGTGACAGATAGATGGATAGATAGATGGATAGATAAATGGGTGGATGGACAGAGTAACAGATAGATGATGGATCGATTGATGAAGGATAGATAGATAGATGGATGAATGGATGGACGAACGGATGGATGGAAAAAAATGGATAGATGATGGATAGGTGCATGGGCAGTGACAGATAGATTGATTGATGAAAGATGTAAAGATGGATGAATAGATGGACGAACGGATGGATAGTTGGATGAATGGATGAATGGAAGGGCAGCGTGACATATGGATGGACAGATGAATGGATGGATAGATAGATAGATAGATAGATAGATAGATAGATAGATAGATAGATAGATAGATAGATAGATAGATAGATAGATAGATAGATAGATAGATAGAAGGATGGATGGATGAAAGATGGATAGATGGATAGATGGATGGACGGATAGGTGCATAGGCAGGTTGACAGATAGATGGATGGATCAATTGATGAAAGATGGATAGATGGATGAATGGATGAACGAATGGATGAATGAAAGATGGCTAGATGAATGAATGGATCGATGGATATACAAATGGATGGATGGGTGAATGGATGGATGGACAGAGAATTGATAATTGACAGATGAATGGGCAGAGTGAAAGATAGATGGACCAATGGATGGATAGATGGATGGATGGATGGATGAAAGATGGACAGACAGACAATTTAGAAGGGGCAATATCATGGATGAACAGATGAACAGATTGATGGATGGATGGTCAAAGGCTCATTATATGGTATAAACAGACAGATTAAATAGAAATGAAAACCAGACCACAATAGATATGTTTGAGTGCATGTAAAAGATAGACAGAACAAACATATGGACAGAACTACATAACCAAGAGATGAACAAACAGAAACACGGACAGAGTGATAGAAAGATGAGCAGATATTATATAAGTAGATAAAAAAAATACAGATATATGCAGCCTTATTAAAACATACAGACAGACTGAATGAGTGAGGCATTTTCGTAGTCTCGGACAGATGAATGAACAGACAGGGAAAGAGCAACAGAAAGATAGTGATATACAGGGGGATTAATGGATGGATGGATGGATGGATGGATGGATGGATGGATGGATGGATGGATGGATGGATGGATGGATGGATGGATTGATGGATGGATGGACGGACAGACGGACAGACGGATGGATGGATGGATGGATGGACAGAGGGTCAGACACAGATGTGATGTGAGACAATAACACTGATTTATTTATTTTTTGACAGATTAAAATAGACAGACAGTCGGATGGACAGGCAAACAGTCAGACAGACAGATATGTCCCAACCTAGCTTGCTGTTTTGACAGGTTTCTGGAAACAGTTTTAAATGTATAAACCATAGAGAAATGCAGCAGTGTGTGTGTGCTGTGGAGTGAGCCTGTGCTGTTGTTTGTCATGTGTGGACTGCTTCACTGTATCACTGGGCTTTAAGTGCACTAATGTGATCAGAGCTCAGAGAGACAGTGGACTGGAGAGAGATTGAGCCTCTCTAACAGCCAGCATCAAAACAAGCTGTAATTTAGCAGAGAGAGGAGAGACATCCCTTTATCTGCTGCTTTTTCCTCCCCTCCTCCACATACTACCAACCTATCTGTGTTGATCCATTCATCTGTCTGTATGTCAGTCTGTTTTTATTCACTCTCTATCTGTCAATCAATCAATCAATCAATCAATCAATCAATCAATCAATCAATCAACATTTAAGCACATTATACTGTATATCTATCTGTCTGCACATCTATTTGTTCATCTTTCCATCCATTCATTCATCCATCCATTTTCCAGCTATGTATTTCTTTATGCACCTATCTGGGATCTGCAAACAACTTATGTCAATACATCCATTTTTCCATTTATCGTTTCATCCATCCATCCATCCATCCATCCATCCATCCATCCATCCATCTGTCAAATTTTCCATCCATCCATCCATCCATCCATCCATCCATCCATCCATCCATCCATCCATCTGTCAAATTTTCCATCCTTCCATGCATCCATACAACCATCTACCTATGTATCTATCTGTCCATCTATCCATCTATATAACCATGTACCTATCTGTCTATCCATCCATCCATCCATCCATCCCTGTCTATACATGAAATTGTCTATCTGTCCATCCATCTGACAAATTGTCCATCATCCATCCATCCATCCATCTATCCATCCATCCATCCCTCTGTCCATGCATGAAATTGTCTATCTGTCCATCCATCTGACAAATTGTCCATCATCCATCCATCCATCCATCTATCCATCCATCCATCCCTCTGTCCATGCATGAAATTGTCTATCTGTCCATCCATCTGACAAATTGTCCATCCATCATCCATCCATCCATCCATCCATCCATTCATCCCTCTGACCATGCATAAAAATTGTCTATCTGTCCATCCATCTGACAAATTGTCTATCCATCATCCATCCATCCATCCATCCATCTGTCAAATTTTCCATCCATCCATCCATCCATCCATCCATCCATCCGTCAAATTTTCCATCCTTCCATGCATCCATACAACCATTCACCTATGTATCTATCTGTCCATCTATCCATCTATATAACCATGTACCTATCTGTCTATCCATCCATCCATCCATCCCTCTGTCCATGCATGAAATTGTCTATCTGTCCATCCATCTGACAAATTGTCCATCATTCATCCATCCATCCATCCATCCATCCATCCATCCATCCATCCATCCATCCATCCATCCTTTTATCCCTCTGTCAATGCATGAAATTGTCTATCTGTCCATCCATCTGTCAAATTTTCCATCCTTCCATCCATCCATCCATTCATTAGTATGAGAGGTCAGAGGTCACTCACCCCTATGATGGCGTTGAGCTCTGCCATGGTCACTTGTTTAGCTCGCTCCACCGCCTGAACAACCTGCTGTTGATGCTACAAACACACACAAAACACACACAGAGATAAGAAAGAGACACAAAATGCAAAACTGGTGTAAACAAACTCAAACACAGCCAAATAAAGTACATTTATAATGAGGTCAGTGCTCACAAAACTTTAATTTATCCTTTAATTATCCAGTCTCTCACCATACACAAACACGCGCGCACACACACAGTCAGTATTGACAGACATATCACTCTGTCCTTCCCCGTCAGCAGATACTAACTCAGGCTAATGCTAAAGGTGACCTCCTGATCAATACAGTTCCGCCTGATCTTTTATTGCTCATCTGCCCAAATAAATCCTCCTCATTTGAAAAGAAGATCCATTCCAGACACTTTATTGGAACTTGGGTATCCTCGCATGGGAGCTGTATCACTATACATTATATAAAAGGTCAAATTCACAAACAGACTTTATGAAAGTAACGATCGGTAAACAGATTTGTTATTTACAAACGTCTACAATAACGGTTTGTGGTTTTATTAAGTCAGAATAACTTATTTACGGCCTATTAATCGGCTGAAAGTGGTAAAATTGCAGTCAAATTTAAGAGTCTATTTTTTTATTTAAGATATATTTTTGGATAATAAACTGAAATAGCAACTCCCTAACTGTCATCCCAATTATGAATTCTTGGGATTTTATATCTAGTTTTTCAATATAAGTTCAGGTTTAGACAAAAAAAAAGTACTGAAAAAGATCCCATCTGGAGCAAATTATCATGAGATAAATTATTGAATATGTTTAAAATACAATGAACTGTCTACTTATTTAATACGTAATTAATGTATATATATAAAAAAGTCAATAACAAAATATATAATAATATATTACTTTCAAAATGGTTTTGTGAAACATCTTAATTATTCTAAATAGTTTTTCATTCTTTTCTTGAGGAATTATGTTAATCCTTTCTCGTTTTCCAGTACGGTTTTGAACTCTAAAGGTGAGATGCATTAATTCACACTGCAGCTCCAAAGCTTTGAAGATAAACAATGGATTTATGGCTCCTCGACGAGGGAACTGGAGCTTTGAATATGTTGGGACACAAAATAAACCATTTCAAGCCTTACGAAACCAACAAAGAACAGTTAAAAAAGCAACAGCCAAATCTCAAGAGCTTGTTTTTTAATGAAGTCCTTCTACCCTTCATGCACATTGATAGAAACAAACAACATGTAACACTATGGGGTCCGTAATTGTTTAGATGTCACCAAATAACTTAAAATTTGATTGTTATGCGAATGACTAGAATTTGATGTTTTAAAAGATGAACTAACTGAAAAATGTAAAATGAATATAAAAAATTTATAAAAATTACAATGTAATGAAAATAAAGCTTTTCTATTATTTTTGAAAACTGTGTGCTATTTATTTACACAGCCATAATTATAAAATCAATAGTAGTGCTAGTAATAGTACCAATAGTATTACCAGAATGGAAAATATATCCAATATCAAAATAATCCAATGCATTGGGTTAAAATAGCCTATAGTTGGAAAGGTGCTATAATAACCTATAGTTGGGTTATATTTTTCCCAACTATTTTAACTAAGTATGTGCACAAATCAGAAGGATAAACTTTTTATCCGATAAGAAAAAAGGTGTATAAGTTACAATTAAAACATATATACCAAATAAATCCCAGCATGCACATCAAAAAAGTCATGTGATTTAGTTTTAACAGATAATTAAGCTAGCACTTGCAAAAGTTGCAGCGCGTTCATTGCATTTCGTCTTCTGAGGCGCAAGCTATTTAATATATAGACCATGTCATTGGCCCAGGAACATTTCCTGCTTGTTGTCAAACTACTTCATAACTCTAACAAGAGGCAATTCACTCACATCCTAACGCTAAAACTGTTATCATTTATCAACTGTTATTATTTGTCAACATGTGGACCTTTTTGGATTCTTGAAAGCTATGGAAATAAAAAATGTAAAAAAGGAAATACATTAGGACCATTGTTTTTGTTCACAATCTTTTGCTCCTAACTTTTTCGACAATTGGCACCAGGTAATCAGGAAGTAATAATTTTGTTGGTCCTAATTGGATAGAAATGGTACAAAATTTTTAAGCAACATTCCAGTTTTGGCCATAAATCTAAATCGCATCAATGAATGGAAACATAGCTAGTGTTTGAATTCTGGTTAACCTGATTAGAATGTTATCACTCGATTGAATGGGCATTATTAGTGGATATCAGCTGATACATATGGGCCAGTAGGGGCCTTCTGTGCCTACTAGTAGGCTCAAAAGGCTGTTATTATCCAACCACATGGTTAATTAGCAATACTAATAGAGGTTACTCCAGATCCAGATGTGTTTTTACATTACTGTGGCGGTGGGGTGTAGGGTTGGGGTAGAGGTAGACATTAATAAAATACATTTAATAGGAAATGTATTAAATAATATAAATAATTCTTGTTAACTTCCGGCAACAGTCGTATGTGATCTATAACTGAATAACCATGTGAATGGATGATTACAGCCTTCTAAGCTTACTAGTAGGCGCAGAAGGCCTCTACTGGCCCATATCTTTCAGCTGATAACCACTAATTTTACAGCACAAGCTCATCAAGTCATAGCAGACGACTTTTGTCTTCAAGTTTGCTTCTTTGTAAGAAAGAAAAAAAGCAGGATATCAGCAATCCTTGTTTAGGCAGAAATGTGAGACTAGTCGTTAAAATCTAGAAGCTGCACAGCCATACTGAGGGTGAATCAGTCTGACAGGGAGGGGAAAAAAAGTGTGTGCACGAGTGTGTGTTTGCCTCTGGGAGAAGACCCCAGAACCCTGATGAGTTGTCAATCACTGTCAGCCTACCTCCTGAGAGAGGAAAGGGATGATTTGAGCACAGATAGCACTGAGTCGCTTCACGATCTCCGCCTGAAAGAGAACACACACATGCACGCGCTCGATTAGAAGAGAAAACAGTGACAGTGATAAACCTGTACAACTGCACTGGGCGCTCAATTCCCAAGCACACAAATGGCTTCAGCTTAGATTATATTCACGACAATGATGTCTAAGCAACAAAAGATACACAAGGCAGAGAAAGAGAGTGACAGATAATAATGAAATGAAGGCCATTCTGAACAGCTGCGATGGAGGATGGAGGTTAATTGCAATTCTGTGGGCGCAAATGATAAAAAAAACACACATTCATAACATCCAAGCAAAAGTCTTAGAAACTAGCTAAAAACATATACACAAAACTTGCCATACAAAATCATATTAAGCTGCCTAGCAACTACACAGAATACCCTAGCAACAATTTAGCAAGACTCTACCTACTCCAAAACAATGCACTATTAACAAACAAAGAGAACGACCCAGTAAACTAAAACTACAAGTCATTCTTAGCACAACTACCTCCAAAACCATAGTAACCCCCTTGTAACTCCACAGCTTCTTAGCAATGCTTAAAAGCCATGTATGTCCTTAAAATCACTCCGAAATCCTACTCAACACTCTAGAAACCCCAGAGTAACCAGAAATCACCCAGAAAGACTGTAGATCTAGCAACACTGGAAAACCATTCATGACATCTCAGCAAAAACCTTAGAAACTAGCTAAAAACACCTATTGACCTTATTCTCCGTAGACGAGCGGGCGCTGCCATTTGAATCTTTTTGGCACAAGACTTCCGGTCTCATTCACTTCCATTCATTTTTAGACATTAAAAACTGCTCGTTTCGCTGTTTGATGTTGCAAACTGATATTTCCTTGTTATATTATTCTAATTGGTCTGTATAGTCATGCAAACATTTGTTTGTAGAGCAAGTAGTTTGACCGTTTTTTGCCGTTTATTATTCCTTGTCATTTCTCCCATAGGCGACAGAAACGGAAGTTCATAGACAATCGCGATAACAGGCGCACTTCCGCATTTTAGAATAAGGTCAATACAAACTTGCCATACAAACAAAACACTCAAGCAATCTTATTAAGCTGTCTAGCAACCACACAGAATACCTTGGCATCGATTTAGCAACAACTCTACAAACTGCAAAACAATGCACTACTACAGTAACAACCATGGAGAATGGCCCAGAAAACTAAAACTACAAGTCATCCTTAGCACCTTTAAAGAGCCCCTATTATGGGTTTTTGAAAATGACCTTCTATGCAGTGTGTAACACAGCTTTAATTGGTTTGAAATGTCCAGCTATGGCCTAAAATCCTAAAGTACACCATGTTTAAAGCTATTGATTCATCTATAAGAGCTGATTCATAGTGGTTTAAATGAATCGTGGGTTTAACGAATCTTTAGCCGTGGTGGCGTGAATGTCAATACGAAATTCAAGCCCCGCCTATTTGTTATGCGTGCAGACCTGGGAAAATTTAACCCCCCAGCCCCGCCCACAAACACTGTAGAAAGAAAAATAAGACAAACACTGTAGCAGATCCCGGTTGAATCAAGTCGCGACGACGCTTTGCTCTAAGTGTGAAGGCAAGTGAGTATTACCTTTCCTACCCAAAGATGAGTCTGTGAAGAGTTAAAGTTTATTTTTGTAATAATACCTCAGCGTTATAGTCTCAGCCTTCTGCTGTGTTCTGTCATTGTCATGATGAGTGCTTCAGTAATTTACACACTTACAACGGGGGATTTGTTGGCCGTTTGTTAAAGGAAGGATCAGAAAAGACTACTGATGTATGGGACTTTGTCAGAGCTTGACAGGAACTTTACAGTGCACAGTTCATGGATCAGCTTCTTCCTCCATTTCACAAATGTAAGTAACTTTAGTGCAATTAAAATGGTTGCCTCTTTGTTTTCTTTAGCTTACAAACTATGAATTTAATTGTGTTTTGTTGTCTGTAACCACTCCACGCGGCTTGTAGTGTATCTGGTTAACTCTTTATATTCTCATATCACGTCTAAAACCACATGTAGCACATTCTTTACGAATGTGAACACGTTTGTGAGCTTGCAATCCTCTGCTGTCTGTCGTTGCTATGGCCTCCATCAACTGTTCCTACACACGTGGCAGTCACGTTTCAGATTAGTTCAGCTTTTGCCACTGTATGTATTAATACTGAATGTGTGTCATGTTTAAGAATAGAGCAATATGCTGGTGTTAACTGCATTGCTTTAATTCACTCCTGCATTAGCCTCACACATGCACTCTGCACTCTGACTACTTCAGAATTGTTGATAAGCCGGAGTGGGTGCTTCATTCTGTTTTGGGTTGAACACAGTCGACCAAACACAACAGACTGGGTCATCAGACCAATCAGCGCAGCGCAGATTAGCATTGTGCTAAGGAGGGGTTTGAGAACAAATTAATTGCTGAATGAATCATATGGGAGTCGTTGGGATAATTAGGTAAAAATAAATGCATAAGACAATAAAAGTTTTTTTTGACCTTGCATGCAAATCAGCCTGTTGCTGGAGACCCCAAAAACCAAAATATGACCTTTTATAATGCAAAATAGGAGCTCTTTAAAATCCTCCAGAAGCCCCAACTTAAAACCCTAGAAACTCCCTAGTAACCAGCAACCAACCAGTAAGACTCAATGCAATGGTTATAAACAATTTATGACATCCTACAAGCACCCAGAAAACCCTAGCAAACAGAATAAAATAGGCTCTGCATTGTTTAAACCCTAGCAACAACATACAAAACCATCATATCAATGAAACTCATTCAAAACATCCTTAAATCCCAAATATAGTCCAAACAACAACAGCAACCCGCAAAACCCTAGCAACCAAATTTGCATCTAAACCTTAACCTTTGTATCTAATTATATCCTAGCAACCACTCAGAAACCAATAGCAAAGTTTAAAAACCATTCATAACATCCTAAAAGCACCCCGACAACCCTGGCAACAACACAAAATACCCAGGCAATGCACTTGAACCCAGTCATAACACCCTAGAAACCAGTAACCCCAGGCGTCAACATAGAAACACCCTAACAACACCAAATCACCCATAACATCCTAGAAACCAATCAGTACACCTTAGCAACAACATAGCGACACTTTAGAGTTGAGGTAGTGCAATTTGCATGGGCAAGTGGCATTTACATGTTCTCCAGGAAATATGAGTCTAGTTGGTGTGTGTGTACTGAGTTTTATTCATTCAGCCATTTCCCTGGGCTCTGTGTGTCAATGAGTGTGTGTGTGTATGACAGAAAGAGCCCTTCAGGGCTGAATAGCTTGGATAGTCTCAATCTCCTTGCAACAGAGCACACAAACACACACACACGTTTAATTATAGTCTCACTAAGAAAAACAACAGACAGGCAGACAAGTGTTTTACACACGCTGTAACACATGAACGGTTAATTACTTTCTCTCCCTCTCCCTCTTTCTCACACACACGTCTTTCAGCGCGTTCCACACAGTGCCCAGTCACCAACCACCTTCATACTCCAGCCATTATCCTCTTCTTACAGTTTTTTTTCATTCTTTTCTTCCTGTCCTGTGATAAGGCTCTGTGATTCACACACACAAAGACATACACACACACACACACACACACACACACACACACACTAATGGAGGAGTATTTGTGGTGATGGAGGCACCGAAACACAGCAGACCTCTAAGTGCACTCTAATACCTACATGAAGAGCGAAGCAAACCTCTGTTTTAGAGCTCAGTGTTTGTAGCCAAGCTATTTTAATCTGCACACCACCACATAATACACTAAACAATATCCATATCGCTGTATAAAACGAACACACCATGCCTGGATTAATTTTTTAAGCAGATTTACTAATGACTGTGATGATTAATCATTAAAAATACTTAATGTTGTTAAATGCAAGTTTTTTTGTGTAACCGACTGGATGTACTTTATTCCTTATCAACAAAAAATCAAAAGTGAAGTGCCATGCAGGGAATTCTGGGAACGTTAATTAATGGTAATTTACAGTATATTAAGAAAACTTACTGTTAATCAGGTAACATATTTTTACTGAAGCATTTACCAATCCATTCATCCATCCTTGCATCCACCCTGTTGTCTACCTATATTAAATCATCTATCTACATTGAATAGGAAAAAAATACACAAATTGTATGCTTAAAAATGAAGCCTGTCTGGGTTTATGCTGCAGTAGTAACCGACTGGATGTACTTTATTCCTTACTTATCAACATTAAATTCTACATGTACTCTTTATTAACTCTAATGTACATGACTCACGAGACAAAAACGAATAAAAATAACCATAGAAATGTCAAAAAAAAATTATAAAAGTGAAGTGTCATGCAGGGAAATCTGGGAATGGTAATTTACTGTATATTGAAAGGAAACTTACTGTTAAGTTATCTATCTATCTATCTATCTATCTATCTATCTATCTATCTATCTATCTATCTATCTATCTATCTATCTATCTATCTATCTATCTATCTATCTATCTATCTATCTATCTATCTATCTATCTATCTATCTATCTACCTATCTATCTATCTATCTGTCTGTCTATCTATCTAACTATCTATCTATCTGTCTGTCTGTCTGTCTGTCTGTCTGTCTGTCTGTCTGTCGATTGATCGATCCGTCTGTAAATCCATCTGTCCGTCCGTCCGTCCGTCCATCCATCCATCCATCCATCCATCCATCCATCCATCCATCCATCCATCCATCCATCCATCCATCCATCCATCCATCTATCAGTCAGTCAGTCTGTCTGTCTGTCTGTCGATTGATCGATCCGTCTGTAAATCCGTCCATCCATAAATAATAAATGGTTAATACTGTACATAAACAAAACACTGTTAATCAGGTAACATATTTTTACTGTAGCATCCATCCATCTCTCCATCCATCCATCCATCCATCCATCTATCAATAAATAATAAATAAACGGTTATTTACTGTATATAAAGGAAACACTGCTAATCAGGTAACATATTTTTCCATCCATCTA